TTCAAAATCGGCATCAATATCATTTTCTGAATCATACTCATAAACTTTGCTTTTGAAAGCCAGACTCTTTCTGCGTCGTTCATCTTCCTTTCCCACTTGTTTAATCACGTGTTCGTGACTCAGAAGGGATCCGATGAGTTCATCCACAGTCATAGTATTTAGGTTTCGAGCTTCCTCTATAGCTGTTCGTTTGGGCAGCCATTCCTTTGGTAAGGATCGAAGAAGCTTTCTGACCATATCTTTAGAAGGAATCACTCGACCTAGGCCTTTTAATTTGTTTATCAAACCAGTAAAACGGGAATACATATCATGAATTCCTTCATTTGCTAGCATATCAAAGGTCTCGTATTCATGCATCAATAAGTCAATACGAGTTTCCCTGATGTTTGACGTACCTTCGTAGGTAGCTTCTAGAATACCCCAGATTTCTTGGGCAGTTTCGCACTGCTCCACTTTGTCAATCTCATCTGGTGAGATCGCGGTTTGCAGAATGTGCATGGCGCGACAGTTGAGCTGCGCGCTTCTCTTCTGCTCATCTGACCACTCGCTTTGTCGCTCAGGATCCATTTCAATTGGTCCATCCTTGACGATTAGCCACAGATCGACATCAATTCCCCACATGAAGGTTTTCATACGCTTCTTCCAGGCATTGTAGTTAGAGCCTGTGAACCATGGTGGGTTATGATGTGATGCAGGACCGAAAGCAGCAGGAGAGTTAGTTCCCATAGATCGTTACCTTCGGCAGTAGCGAGCTTCTTCAAAGGAAGGCTCTGATACCACTTGATGTTCGATTCTAGGGTTAGGGATTTGGAGAGAATTGAGAAGAAAGGAAATGAAAATGCGAGGAAGACAACTGACCCGAACAAACTTCAGTTCTTCTAATTCTGACTGTTTGGGCCAAGTAAATCTCGAGGCCCAACAGATTTAAATGAAGACTGGGCCAGTTCAGGTTTAGGCTCTTGTCTTAGCAGCCTTAAAACTTCGACAAAAGAAAACAGAGAAGGAGACAGAGAGAAGCAGCTAAGAACGAGAACAGAGTCAAGAGCAGGAACGCAGCGATTTAACGAGGTTCACCAACAATGGCTACGTCCTCGTCCCGGTAATAGTCCACACTATTACCGAGAGACACTATATTATCTGATTTATTGACACAAGTACAAAGCATGAACAAAATTACGAAACCTACAGAGTTTAATCCACACTCTGTTAAACCCAGCCACTCTCACAGACCCTATACCTCTGGAGAAAACCTTCTTTTGCTCTCAACAACCCAGCCCTTTACCGCTGCACTTAAGATTACAAAAGATGATGAAAATAAACACAACCGATCCAATATATACTGCTCCTTGGCTAGCCGTTAGAAGAAAAGAGCCGTTGCTTGATTTGCTCTGATTTGGCAGAGGATTACCAAAAATGCAGACTTGCCAAGAATGGCTAGCTCTGATCTTCGCCCAACAAACCAATGTATCATCGGGAAATAGGCAGTGTGGAAGCTTTAGAGATCTAACCTTTGAGAGAATATGTTGATGTGGTCCTCTCTAGTGTGAATCCTTCGAACCATTTAAGTCCTTCATCTTCAACGATGGACTTATGATGATCATTTCCTCCAATGCTTCCCTCAACTAGTTTCATAGGAAATGCAACTATCCCAACCAAGTCAGGAGTAATAGCAGAGTTCGAAGGATACTAACAACTCTAGAACAGTCACACATCAACAGATTCTCTTGAAACGAACACAAACCCTGTAAGCCCTTTCATCCTCTGGAAACAAATCTCTCCCAACCATTGTTGAACCTTTGGAGATCTTCCTGAGGTTTTTTTTACAGTGGAAAATCTTGCATTGCACTATGAATGATCGATTACTGAGAGGGAAAATGAACAACAATGGAATCAAAACCAAACAAAGGCACATCAGAGCAAACGGTTGACACAAACCGTGCTTGAGAGATGCATCAAATAAGAGCAAAACACTTAGTGAAGTCAACCATCCGAAGGGTCCGAACACTTGATCCATGAACCAAAATATCCAAAATCTCTCTCGCTTCTGAACCAAACAGAGTAGCAACAAAATCAAGATCAGGTCATCCGATCACACCGAAGTCCATGGCGATTGAGCACAGCAATGCCATAAGCCGCCTCCTGGGTAAAACTCAAAGGCATCCAACACAGTGAATCTAAAAAATGAAATTACATGACGGTTGAAAAGGATGTGAAACGGATTGCTCCAATCTGAAAAAGGCACATGGAGTCTGACGTAGAGAGATCGATCCACGGAGAGCAGAAGATCGAAATCGAGCCACCAAACTCTTACGAAATACCAATCAACAGCCAAAATCACCTAGACACCCACCACAATCCGACCAACGACCAAGCAGCATTCAGACAGCAAGGGGAGATCGGAAGGGGAAACGTAAGGAATGGCTTCACCAAAAAAAATGAAACCACCCGCCCCCGGAACATCAACCACCAAAGCAGAGCACCACGAGGCTCCCAAGCTGCCAACTCCATATCCCAAGAAGAGCAGGCCCCGAACAAGAACCCCAATCAACGAACGAAGAGCATAAAGCTCAACAAGAGCCAAAGGTGAAAACTGGAAGGCCATATCGGCTGGAAAAGGGAAACACTGACTGCAATCCGAGGAAAAATCACCAAGAACGAAGCTAGGAGCAGCAAGAGCATGAAAGGAAAGGAAAGCAAGAAGAAACAGGGGACTTAAGCTGCCGCCGGTGGTGGTTTGTTCATGTTGGAGAACAATTCAATTAACCCATCATTGCTCAAAATTGAAAAATTGGACCAAATACATGTTTCAGGTTTGATCGGACTCCTCGACTTCATTTTCCCTTTCTTTGATATGCAAATATGCAATTCAATACAGAGAGTCAGAGACCGGACCACCGGGAGATGCTTGGCGGATGCAAGCTAAGCCCCAACTTTATTATCCAAGGCAATGCACACAACAGTTGCGACAAATCAAAAGGACAAAAAAATGATGGTTGAGGCTGACTACTGGACTAGAGCGGTTTTGTTTGCTACCTTTTTTTCACCGGAAAAGACCAACGCAACGCAATGAAATGGAAAAGGCAGGCAGAAGGAATGGCGTGTGCGTCTGCCGTGCGTGGAATTTTTGGAGTGTTTCTGAAGCCAGCCTGTAAGCTAGCTAGCTAGCTCAGTAGCCGTTCAGCTTACACCGCAAGAGAGGAAAATCCCAAACCAATTTTCGGATTAATTGTCATGTCATTCACTTAACGGTCAAAGTAGGATAATTGATTTGAACCAACCTTCAACGTCCTCTCTCTACCTTTACCTTCCTCTCCCCTCTCACTAGTTTTCAAATACAGATCTGGGATTTGGGGCTGCCGTCGGCAACCATTTTGGACCGGCGGTGGCCCAAACCTTTTTCCTTCTTGCCTCTCTTTTTTCATTCTCTAGTCTTTCTTTCTTATCTTTTCACGCCGCTGGCGCTGCTCTTTTGCTGCTTTTTTTCCATTTCCAGTCTTCCTCCATCCTTGTGATGATGATTTTCCGATCTCCCCGAGGAGATGCTTTTGTGCCCCGCCAGATCCCCGATCTGTGTGGATGTTTTCTCTGGTAGGTGTTTGAGGGTGCCGAGCTCGTCGGTTCGCTTGCTCCTCTCTGGTCCTCCATCTACCTCTACATGTTTCATCCAAAAATGGGGATGAATCGGAGATGCATGGACCCTAGCTGTCTTGGATGAAGATTCAGGGGGCTTGTAAGCAGGGATGGCACTTTTGAGGATGGGTCCAGCTTGGGGCTCAGATCGGAGGTGTTTTGGTCGTCTTTCTTCTGTCCAAGAATCGGATGGCTCTTTGTTTTACTTGTTTGGTGCAGGTGGAGCTCGGAGCTGGACCGAAGATTGGTTCCCCTCATTGAGGTTTCCGCTCTTCCTTTTTTCCATCACGTCATGGGTCTGCTGGTGCTGGTGGTGTTTTGGAGCCCTTGTCCGCTTCCTCCGTCGTTCACCGGCGATTGGTCACGTGAAGGATGAAAGGATTTTGGCGGCTGGTTCTCGGTGCTGGGGGATGCTTTCGGCGGCCATCCTCTATGTGTTTGGGCTAGCGGATTTAGGGTTTTGCTTGGGGTGGGCTGGTCCACGTGTTTGGACATAGGTTTTGGGCTTGCGAGTCTTAGGCCTGGATGTTCCACTTTTGGTTTAATCCTTTTTCCGTTTGGTTCTTTCGTCCTTCCTTTCAGTGATGTTATCTCTGTACACCGTGTTTTATTTTTTAATGAAACAGCCAACCAACGTTCAAAAAAAAAAAAAAAAGATTTGAACCAAAGGGTAACAAATAATGCAACGCAAATACAAAATCAGCCAACGCTATAGCAATAAATAAATAAAAATTAGATAATTAATAAATTTAGTGATAAAAATGTTATTTAACCCCAACTATTAATAAAATAGAGAAAGCAAGCGAAGAAGTCAGAGAGAATCAATCCAAAGGTAGCTCCAAGCAAATCAGAACAACCCCATGCCATTACATAGAAAAGCATCCCAGATTGATAGCAGCCGTCAGAGTCAGACCAGACCAAACAAATAAAGGAAACCTTTTTACGCCAATAATTAACTTCTACAAGTCAAATATTTCATCCATTTCCCCCGGTAAATAATATTGTTGGGTGAATTGCAAACTTGGTCACTTATATTACTCATTTATAACACTTTAGCCACCCGAATTAAAAACCATTCAAGTTAGCCACCAATACTACATGTCTATGTCATATTTGGTCACTTGCCGTCTAGTTCCGTTAAGTCTGTCCTACGTGGCAGTCAATAAATAGGTTTGACCGTTAAAATGCTGACGTGGCTAAAAGTAATTAATTGATAACTTTTAAATTTTATATTCTAATACATCTCACAATTTTCAATTACAATAATATTTATGATAAGAAGTTAACTATTCCCACATTCTTTCCGGCTCCCCAGTTCCCCAATTCCCCCATCTCTGTTTCCACAGACCCACGATTCCATCCCAAACCATTCAGCCCATCACCACCGCAAACTGAAACTCCTCCACGCCACCTTCGGGAATTGGAATCTCCGTTGCTTTATTGTCCCCCGCGGCGTTCCCGACCAGTTCCAAAACCTGAAGAACCAATAAAATCACCAAAACACGACGGTTGGTTTCTAGATCTGAGAGTTTTCAGCGATTCGATTAAGAAAAGGAGTGAGCGCATCGACACTCGCAGGCACCGCGTCGACCCCGACAACCGAAATCCTCTTCTCTAAGAGCTAGATTTGGAGCTTCAGCGACGGAATTTCGCTCAACAGGGACTCCTGCTCGCGAAGCCACCTCTGCTCTTCCCGGAGCCACCGATTCTCCTCACGCAGCCCCCCGCTGCTCTTCGTGGAGCCAAAGAAGCTCCTTGTCAATGCAACTGTGAATTAAAGCTGGGAACCCATCGATTGCACCTTTTGTTCGTCATCGTTGGGTTTAATTCGGCGAGACGATTGGGAGGATTGTGGTTTTGCGACGGAATGCTTGGAGCAACGATGGTGGGGATTTTGCGGTGGAAAGAGGATTGGTTGATTTTGCGGCGGGATGCTTGGGTCCGTGGGTTTCAGATGGCATGGAGGTAGCGGGAGGGGAGGGCGATGCCGGTGGGCTCGCTTTATTAATATTTTATATTGATTAGTTTTTTTATGAAAATAAATATTTATTAGAATTTAGTATGTGGAAATAAAAATAAATATTTTTATTATTTTTAATGGCCACGTCAGCATTTTAATGGCCAAACCTATTAGTTGACTGCCACGTAAGACAGACTTAACGGAACTAGATGGCGAGTGATCAAATATGTTATAAACATATAGTATCGATGGCTAAGTTGAATGGTTTTTGATTCGGGTGGCCAAAGTATTATAAATGAATAATATGAGTGACCAAGTTTGCAATTCACCCGATAATATTTCATCCCATTTAAACAAACTAGATTGTAAATTCATTAATTAACACCTCAAAAGGAAGCAATAAATACAACTGCCAAAAAAAAAACACAGTGCAGACACACCGCGGTGGACTCATCACTTCAGACAGCGATAGCAAGAAAGAGCCATTGAGTATTTGAGTTCCCACTTAGGGAGGGAAAATATATTTATTTTCTTCTTATGTAGAGATTCTCTCGTACAATACAACCCCTAGATATTAATTAATTATTCAAAACCAGCCCATTAGATTTACAATTTCTTTTCATGATAAATAATTAAGCTAATACATTACAAATTAATTAACTTTATATGTAATGTAATGCTGCAGCAGCAGCATTGGAAACTAGAATATGTGCAGTTAAATTACCCCAAAATAAAAATTAAAAACAACAAAAGCATATAGTTAATTAATTAATTGCAGGAGTAGCACTTCACTAATTGTTAAATTAAATAATCAAATCACGTGAACCCCAACCTCCTCTTCTTCCAGAAACTCACCTCCGGATCCAGCTTCTCGCCGGCGATTCTCGCCGGCTCGGATTTACACCTCGTCAGCACAACCGGCCGCCGCGGCGGCGACGTTATCGCCTCGGCGTATTCCCCTACTTTCTCTTCTTCCTCTTCAAGCTTCGTTGCGGCTGTTTGCTCCATTAATCTTTCTTTGACCACCGACTCCACAGAGCCTTCGAAATCCTTGAAAACCCCCAACCTGGTCTCTTCGTTTTCCGGATCCAACCTCGATTCCTTGTCGGATTCCTCCTCGAAAGAAGAAGATTCCCTCTTCGATGTCAGGCTCGAGTCTTGCTCCGTGCTCTGTTTCCGCTCCTCCGTTTCTTCCTCGCTCCCGACCGGCGACCCCCAAAACCGGCTCGCCAGAGACGACGACCTGTACGGCGCAGATCTGCTCCGAATCAAAAGCAGCGCGTTCCTCGGCGGCGAATTCGCCGGCGAAGAACAGGCGAACGCCTTCGCGGCGCAAACTGACCTCGCCTCTCCTTCCTCCTCTTCCTCCAGGGAGCTTCCCAAATCCGGGTCGTTTCTGTCCTCGCGGATTTCGGACTTCCGGGTTGACCCGACCCGGAAGAACTGGGTCCACTTGGGCCAGGCGGGGCGGCGGAAGCACCCGCGGCCACGGTGATTCTTCTTCTTCGTCTTCTTCTTTTTCTTCTTCCCTCGTAGGCTACTACAACTACCGCCGCCGTGGCAGCAGGAGAAGAAGAGGGCGTCCGGGATCCAGTTGCGGCGCTTGCAATCGGAGCCCCGGAGGCGTTTCTTCTTGGTCTGGCGCCTGACCCGAACCTGACCCATGCAGGTGACTTTGGGGGAAGAGGGCTCGGGAGCTTCCATAGCGGTGGCTGCGTTCCGCTTCCTGACGAACAAGGGGCTGGAGCGAGACCTGCCGCGGCTCTTGTTCCCCACATTGCTTCTCAGGAACCTCATCAATGGCGGCGGGTAGTACTTCTCCGCCCGACCCGGGCTTGATATGGGTTTGGCGGATATCTTGATCATGGTTTTGGGCTCTTTTTTTACCCTGCTTCCGAGCTCTTATTGCGCTGCAACAGATTGGATTTTCAGCCTTCGGCTGAAAGCTTGGCGGTGGAGGGATGGAAGAGGGAAGAACGGAGGAGAAGGAAGGAAGGAAGGAAGGGGATAAGAGTGGTGCGCTGCTTGGTTTTTATTGATTACTACTTTTTTTTTCTTTCTTTTATTTACTTTTCATTTCATTTGTGGTTTTGTTGGTTTTGGTTAATTTGGTTGGAGGTGGGTCGGGATGAGATCTCTGTATTAAGTTACTTTTTTTTTTTTATTATTATTATTAATTATTATTATTATTATTATATTTTGTATGCACGCATGGATGGATGGATGGCTGGCTGGCTCTGAATCCGACTACCCCTGGCTGTAGTGAGTGTCTATACTCTATAGACTATAGAGTGTATACCTTCTGAGATTATTGTTATCTTATTTGTATTTATTATTACTAAAAGAGTATCTACGATTATTTGTGGTAAATTTCAAAGTAATATTACTCGTTCATAACTTACATTCACTATATATCAAACAATAATATTACTTAATAATGTACAAACGGGTCGACCTAATTTGTTGATGCAGGTCTTCTGTCCAAAATTGAGATCGACTAAATGTATCAATGTGATGGACCTGATCAACTTTAAGGTCTACGAAAGACCCCACCAAATTCCAAGAAAAATTTATTTGGATTTGCCACAAATTCTAGTATAACAAACTCATTATTAGTTAATCTAACGGCTTGTGAGTTGATTGTTTTCCCTAAATGAAGTGTAATAAATTTATTGAGTTAGTATGAGTTCCATTTTTCATTTTATTTTGAAATAATACTGGAAAATTGTATGAAATTTGGAGATTGGAAGAAAAAGACTCCCAACTTATGTTTTCCTAAAAGAAGTAGTTGGATATAAGAATTAATTTAATGAGATGCTTAATAGTAGGGGTGAGGAGTGGGTGGTCTTTTGCGGATTTGGGTTGGTTTGGAATTACTCCTTACGTGAGATGTTTTCCTAAAACGACTTATTCACACTCATTCATGTACCTGTGGGTGAGTTGGGTGGGTTTAAAACATACATTCTAAATATTTCACTGAATTCATAGTGTTCTAAAATTGTAAGGAAAAAAAAAAACTTTCAAACTAAATAACATTTAAACCATAAATCAGATGCATCATTTGGCTTACAATATAACCACTAGTAATTGTCCACAATTCATAAAAAAATATTCAACTAATAAACATGTTCCAAGTCTAATGATAACAAAATAAAAAATAAAGATGAGGTACCTCATAAATCTAGCTAATTGCCCAAGTCCTTAGCCATAATCACTCACCAAATACTCTTAAAATGAACAATAGAACAAGCCCAATCAGTATACGAACAAGAAAAGTTAACAAGGAATCATAGAAGGAAGTGAACATATTATATAGATTTCCAGTCTCGAAAACAAATTAGACTTTGCAGCTATCTTCAATAACCATAACTTTGAGAAGATATTCATTGAAAATTGGGAAGAAAGGCTATATAAAGATTAGAGAAGAACTTTTGACCGAAATGGGGGAAGTGTTTAAGTTCTAACTACTCTCCCAATTGAAGGCCAACTAGAACCTCAATTAGGGTGCTATAGAGCTAGTATTTTTCGAATGATCAAACTAGGGCGGTTTATGTATACTTACTTCAGCAAACCCCAAATTATCTACTGGTAGAAATGTTGTTTTAAGCTATTGAACTAGGTTGAATTCAAGGGAGAAAGATTCACTCGGATGAATATCCCCCTAGTCCCGTGTTGAGTCGATGATGTGATAATTTATCGTGATTTGCATATTATATATACCGTTAGAAGACCAAAGCTAGTTAGGAGTCCCTATTAGAGTTGTCCTAACCTGCCTAATTGCAATAATCGGAGAGACGTACCGAACTATCGGACTAGGCAATCATGGCAACCAAATCAACTCCATCGGGCGAAGACCCAGAACTAAGGAAAGAAACCAATCTCCCTTGTTTACAATGATTGAAGAGTGCCCCAAATTATGTTAAGGAGACATTCTCTCTCTTAGGTTAATTAACCCTGAAATTGAGGGAATTGATTAAGGTCTCTCAATTATCATGATAAATACTCAATCAATATATAGTCAAACATGACAATCACAATATAGAGTTCGCAATCATCATTCTACAATATCCTAGACTAAAGATCACATCATCTTAGTGAAATGAGAATCTACACCATTACTAGAGAAAGAACTACAACTAAAGAGAAGGAAACCCCTATAAAAAGATGATTTTCCTTCTTCTTCTTCCTAGTTGGTTGGGATGGTGTTGAAGATGAAATCTGGCCTCCTTTGGTCTTGGGTAGGTCAAATTCCTCTCCAATTTTCTTTTGTTCGTCCCTTACTCTCTCTAGAATGTAGAAGAAGATCCAAATCTCTCTCGAAAACTATCATTTGCTTTGGAAATCTGCTCATTCTCATATTTATACCCGACAGTGCCCATTTCACTGTCTGCCGTCACACCCGCAATGTGTGCAGTGAAACCATGATCTTAGCGCAAAAAGCACTATTTCACTTACACCCTTCATGGTTTTGTTATATTCTTCACGCCCTATCCGTGTGATCCATGTAATGCTTACGAGAAGTCCAAACGCTACTGGAAATTTGCATTCTTCACAGTTTTGTTATAATCTTCACGGTCTACCGTCCGTGACAATTTGCCATGAATCGTGATGCATGAAATTGCCAGCACTTTTTCCCATTTTCGCTCCCTTTCGTCTAACTTTCGATCCTTTTGCCCATTTCACCCGCTAGAGACTTAAACATTCTAAAACAAGATAAAAGCTAGAGTAAAATAGCTCCAAGGACGATGATATACAAGTCAAACGACAAAGTCAACGGGGGTTAAAACATGTATAGAATGGCTCGAATCAAACTCCCCCACAGTTAGTCATTTGCTCACCCCCAAGCAAACATAACTCACAGTAGTGCAACATGCAAGAAACTCACAATGGTATGCACTATAGCTTTTTATAGCACCTCAAAGACAATCGTAGATGAGAAAATGTTATGTCCACCTCTATGTGATAACACACTCTCATATAAGGACCTTGCCGAGTAAAGAGGTCTAGACACTTGACGTGTGCACTATGGGACTCTAAAGAAAACAAGTGAAAAGCAATGGACTCCATGGTGGTTCTCCTACTTTTTTCAAAAGAGGACTCAAACTTTGAGCCTCAACTTTGTCTAACATGGCACCACATTTGAATTCTCAAGACAAGGGCTCGATCTCAGGACGAGAGCGGAAGAAACATTCACTTCCCTTTCACGCCTCATGTGGGGAAAATGATAGAAGGGTTTAGGTAGGTTAAGCATTGCAAATGGTAAGTCTGTATCTCTCAAGCACCGATTCCCGACCTGCACTCTCATTTAGACGATAGACGAGTTGCCACACATGTGAGATATTCAGAAGCTGTGTCTCTAAACTCTAGCAGAAGAAGTATCTAGCATGAGACGTAACTTCTCAATAAAGTCCGCGAGGAGGAGTGTTCGCGGAGAAACACGGGAAAGGTAGTAGGGTGGAGGTTGGACGCTAGAAAGCTATTCAAAATTTCCCCAAAAACACATCCTCAAATGGCACTCCTGCCCAAAAGAGAAGCCATTTGATAGGTTAACTTAAATACTATGACTTATTGCCTCTCACATGAACACTTTTCCCACAACTTTTTTCAAAACATGAGCATCTTTTTCATAACTTTTTGGAGTCCAAAATTAGGGAGAGTCTCAGGTAGGGGTGTACATGGGTCGGGTGGTCCGGGTTTAACCATTTTAATCACCCGATCCATGCTCTACGGTTTGGGAAATATTAAACCAAAACCCACCCAAAAAAATTAAAACCCTACTGTTTGTCTCTAATTGGGTTGGGTCGGGTTGACGATATTTTTAAGTAAAAACCCAACCCAACACAAAATATGTAATTAGTCTACACCATAAAAATATTTTATAACTAATTGAAATTTCAAACGAATAAACGGAGGTGAAATGTATCAAAATTCACAAATGTTGTTTAAATTTTAATAAAATGTGATTTACTTCAACATATATCTATTTTTTTCATGACATTTGTTGAAATAGGCTAAAAATGTTAATATGTTATTCTATTAAAATTGTATATAAGAAAAAGGATTACGTGAATCATAGCTATATTAAATCTATGTCTAAACTTTAACCCAAAAAATGCATTAGATTAGAGAGACCATGTGAGAAAAACATAGCGAAATATCTCAATTTTCTCATAAGTATTACTATATACGACATAAATATTTTTTGTATACGAACTCATATCAATAGTTGGAACACGGGTTGGGTCGGGTTCTACTGGTTGTGTAATCCAAAATCCAAACCCAACCCAAAAGAGGCGGGTTGTACAAAAGAAAACCCTCACCCAACCCAAAACCTTAGTTATAGCGATATATACGGGTGGGTTGGGTCGGGTTGGACGGGTGGGTCGGTTTGCGGGTGTATTTGTTCACCCCTAGTCTCAGGCGCATGTCCTTCCTCGATAGTAAACAGTATCAACACAACCAAGAGGTAATGGAAGTAAAGCCACTCATGACTAATAATCTCCGCAGCTCCACACAACTCCCTATAATGCACACCATCACGACATTAAACTTTTCAAAGTACAATGAGTAGGAATCATGTATGGGACAATGTGTTCGAAACCCCTAAATTTTTAAATTTTTAGCGTCAACCTAGGTTCCAAAACACTCTCAATGTAGGCCAACATTCAATCATTCATCCACAAGTGCTTGGAGCACTTATATTGTAGGAATTTGGTCAATAACAAGGCTCCACGCATTCAAAGAATAGGCCATTCATAACATTTGCATTCACTCGCCATTCACATACATATTCAACCCCCCCCCCCACACACACACACTTAAACACGATATTTTCCCCAATAGAGCAAGAATAAGGGTGGAACGAA